CTCATCTTTCTTGAACTGGGGAGCCCAGAACTGGACACAGTACTCCAGATGAGGCGTCACCAGGGCAGTGTAGAGGGGAAGGAGAACCTCCCTCGACCTGCTGGCCACACTCCTCTCAACGCACCCCAGGGTACCACAGGCCTTCTTGGCAACCAGGGCACAGTGCTGGCTCATGGTCAACTTGTCGTCCACCAGGGTGGACGCCCTTGGGGGTGTTTGGTTTACAAGCGGCGATGGAAATAAACAGCAGTAAAACAATAAAAAGTAATAAAATAAATAACGCAGTGCTGTCCAGCAGAGTGTGCTTGCCCCGGAGTTAGCTGTGAGGGTTGTTTGCCCCGAGCAGAACCCGGAGACCCCAGGAGCGACGGCGGTGCCATCAGAGGCCAGTTTTCCCTCGCATTGGGCAGGTGTTCGTGGCCCTGATGCCGTGGACGCGAGCTCGACCTCCCCTGTGCCTCCACCATCCCCCTCCGCTCTTCACCCGCTGCAGCAGGGCCCACGGCACCGGGCAGGCCCGGCAGCCTGCCCCCCGGCCGCCCATCCAAGTTCGGGGGAGGAATCCTATTTCTCAGCCCCGGCCAGGCTTGTGGAAAGTCACATGGCGGGATGGCGGAGGAAAACCAGTCGTCCCAGCAGGATGGGGTGATTCAGCACCAGGCGACCTCGGGACCCAGTGGTGGTTTGCTTTCTCACCGCCCTGCTCCAAGCACGGCGATGGTTTTGCAACCACGTGCTTTTGCTTGTTTGTCCCACCCTGAGCATGCAAATAAAGACTGGTTTGAGCTGTTTGGTTTTGTTTGCTCTTGGCTTAACTCTAACGATGTTAGGATCAAGTCAGCACAGCATCCCAGGCAGCATCCCAGGGGAGATGGTGTTCATGCAGCTACCTGCAACGGCTGAGGAATCCTCAAATCAGGCATATTGCGACACTTCATATTTTTAAAAAGATATGGGGGTATTTCTCCAGTTATCATCAACATGGTGTCCCAAAAGCAGACAACTTTGGAGGAGCAAATCCAGAACTGCCGGGAGAACAGGAGGGGGGATCGTGCCTGCTCCCCGCATCGCAGCGGCTTTCCTGCTCTCTCCTGCAGGCTGTGTTAGGCTGATCCCGCTGCTTGTCCCCCTGTTGTGGCTGCACTCACCTGCAGGCACCTTTCGGGGAATGGGTGTAGCCCCCACAACCAGGCGCTCTCACTGTGCCTGACAACTGATGTTGCTCGGATCGTCACCGCGGGCTGAAAGGAAGAGGTCAGCTGGCCTCAGCCAGAATTAATTTAATCTAATTAATAATCCACTTGGGTGCTGGGGGCAAATTTCCAGAGTGGCTAGGACAGGGGGCTGTAACTACAGAAAACAGCTACTTCTTTGCACCTCCTTCTTAGCACTGGCTGTTTTCTCCTTCTGCCAGCTGTGTGGTCTGGTGGTGCTTTTTGCCCACCCAGAGTTATGGCCTAGGTTTTTTTCCTTTCTGGGCTGTGATTTTTGTTGGCCACCTTGTTCCCGATAGCTTGATGTAATCTGTTTTTAGGTTTCATTGCCCTTTGTTTTCCCCTTTCTTATTTTTGTCTGTGGCATCTGGGTTTGGGGAGTTCCCTTAGCTCTCTTGAAACGCGCTCTATCGAAGAGGTTTGTCTGTGAGTTGAATTCTCTAGACGTTTTGCTCTGTTCTCCTCTGTGATTTTGTATGCTTAAATCATCTGTTTTGGTGGAAAACTGAGCTTGTTTCAGTGACTCTGAAAGCGGTGATAATAAAACCTCTGGTGTGGAAGTGAACGTGAGAGCGGCTTGCGATGCATTTCAGTGTGAATTCTGATGATCTATAGCGAAAGGAGCACGTTCTGGCCGAAAGAACAGTGAAATTGATTAGTCTCTGTATGCGGATTTCCCTGAGAACCTGACTTCTGTATTCACTGCTGCTGTAGTGCCTGCAGGTGCATCTGTGTACCGAGCTGCCAGCACCACGCTGTCAGAGGGATTTGGATGCAGTGGGCGTAGCTAACGCATAAAGCGGAACGTTAGGCTTTTTCCTCATATAATTGAGTTGGTTGGATTACAGAAATGAAGAACTCGAGTATCAGTCTTGCTGGAAACAAACCATTAGTTGGCTTTCTCAGCCTTTTCTCCTGGCGCTTCTGCACTGTAGCACAAGCTCCCTGTGATGCTGGTCATCTGGGAGGGGCCCTGTCTGCAACGTAAAGGGGCCAGCCAAAAGCTGAATTGAGTCATTCTGAAGCATTTTGGTGAACTGTTGGGCTCCAAGGTGACCTGGAGGCCCACATCTTGTATCAGATGTCGAAAGGGTCATGTGCCTAAAAGCAAGGTCTGTTTGGCCTACAGTGCTTATGCCGCCCCAGGGAATCTAAGCTTTAGTGCTGTTATTGCAAAACTGGCACGATGATGATGTGTGATACCAGCTAAAAACCTTGGGCAGAAGGTTTCTGCTTCTGTCTGGTGTAAAAGCCTTGGCTGTCGTTTCACAAACTTACACTTATTGGGCTTTTTATTAATTCATTTCTAGGGGAGGGAAGAGACATACGTTAATTCTGATCCTAGATTCACTGATTTTTAGTTCAAAGCCTTTGAAATACATGTAGACTCGTACGCATGAAGTCACTGCCACTGTGCAAACGTGTCTGCAAAGCAAAGATCTCTGGGGAGCTGTTTCACCGGGAGGCATCCCGATGTAACGCATCATGGAATTTGCTCCCGAGTGTGACGCTGCTTATCCTGTGAATGTGTGACAGCAGTTTATGGTGTTGCTCTGACCCAACTGCACTTCTGTTCCCGGCAGTCAGATAGGCAGCTGTGTTTACCATCTGCGAGACCTGAGGGATGGTGTGATGGTGCAGCCCCCCCTTCCCCCCCCACCTGGCAACCCCAGAACCAGCCAACACTGTATTCTTGATTGCACTGCAGGGACAGTTAGCGGGTGTGCAGTGAATCCGGATGACTTGGCACTCTCCTTGTCTTCGTACAAGGGCAGCGAGTTGGGCCCACCGGGTGCTCCCTGACCGCCCCTGGAACTCCTGATGCCTGGAGTCGCACCCGCCTGGCAACGTCAGAACTGTACAGTCTGGGTAGTGCTAGAATTGTACAGTTTCTGGCTAAATATCAGGATTGCATCATGTGGATTGTGACCGGGATGGAAAATTACTGATGCTGAAAGTCAATCATCTCAAGACCCTACAAACGGTGGTACCAAGGAAGGCCCTTTGAACTCTTCTGGTCTGCAGCGGGCTGCGCCCAGTAACTCCCTCTGCATGGGGCCCTTCTCAGAGTAACTCGCAAACTACCTGGGCTGGTCTCCTTGAGACTCAGCCTTCAACCGTTGAGAAATCATTTGATCTGAAGTGAGTATTTCACTGAACTCCAGGGGAATTTTTATGATTGCATGTGTGTTTGTGAATCGATTCAAAACATAATATTCTATTACTGTGATTGTAATAGCAAATTCTTTCTAACCACTCTGTCAATGTTCAGTTAACCAATGATTAATAGCTGCTAAATGCCTGCGATTCTCTCTCGATGTAAACTGTGTACACACCCTGAACTGCTGCTAAACAGATTCCTTAGACATAAACCGTAGTGGTTCAAGGCCAGTTCTGCACCCAGCCGCACCTAGGCTCCTCTCGGAGAAGGAATTTAGCAAGCAAGGATGTCCAGTCCGAACCTTGTGACTCAACAGGAGGGTCTCCCTACCCCCTTACACTTTTCTTCCACTCTGTAGAAATAATTTTCCACCCAAAACCTCCTTTGATTTTGTATTCCATTCGATATGTAACAGAGTGAACCTTGCCAATGAACTTTGTAAGATCACGTTTTCTAAATTTTCAGTAAAATCTTTTCTTGCAAAGCCTTTGAGTGATCATTTAAGTGACCTAACCACTCATTCGCGATAGATGGGGAGAGGGAAAGATTTTCCAAGGGCTGGAGTTCCCATGCGCAAGGAGAAGACTTTACCTGGGTCGGTTACGAAGTGTGCTAGCTCAGCTTAAATATACGGCTTAGTCTCAGCAGGGTCTTTTGGGTTTGGGTTTTTTTTTTTGGCAGGGCTGCTGTAAGCAGCCCGGTCTGCTTGCCTGAGGCCTCTGCAAACCAAATGCTTATTCAGAACCCTAAAAAAAAAGAGACGCCTCTGATGTGATGGCCTCTGTGGAAAGCCTGAGCACAGCGTGAGGGTTTCCCCTCCAAGTCACTGGGCAGCGGGGCTGATGACACCGCACAGGGACAGAGGTCTGCAGGGGGGAAGTGGTGCCGGCTCTGCTGCCTTCCTCCCAAATAGCCGCTCCTGTGCCTTTCCCTCTGCCGTGACCGGTACCAGGCGAAGCTGGTGCCCTGGCTGCCAAGAAGGCCAATGGGATCCCGGGATGCATTAGGAGGAGTGTGGGCAGCAGGTCGAGGGAGGTTCTCCTTCCCCTCTACACTGCCCTAGTGACGCCTCATCTGGAGTACTCTGTCCAGTTCTGGGCTCCCCAGTTCAAGAAAGATGAGGAACTACTGGAGAGAGTCCAGCGGAGGGCTACAAGGATGGTGAGGGGACTGGAACATCTCTCCTATGAGGA